GGCCGAGCCACATTTGTAGTTTCAAGAGATGTGTAATTTAGTTATATATTACATACCTCACATGGCCGGGAGAGCCGGATCGGGGAGAGGGGGTCTGCCTGAGCACCCAGGAAGACCCCAGGATTGCGATCGCCGTCAGGGGATTGCCAGCGGTAAGTGGGGATTTACTTATGGACAGACCAGGTATGACTGTGGTCGTTAAAGGGACACTATAGTCACCTGAACAACTTTAGCTTAATGAAGCAGTTTTGGTGTATAGAACATGCCCCTGCAGCCTCACTGCTCAATCCTCTGCCAGTCAGGAGTTAAATCCCTTTGTTTAGTCACACCTCCCTGCATTGAAGTCAGCAGGACCTTTTTGGAAGTGCAAGCCTTGCCAATAGACAGAGGGCGACCGCCATGAACCCAGATGAAGGAAGAAGGGAGCAGGGGGCGCCGGGAAGCACAACCACCCTGGCCCACAAGCTACCATACATTGCCTTCAAAGACTTGAAGGAAGCACAAGAAGGCATCACTTTTTTTTTTTTTTTTTTTTAACAAGACTTTGAGCGCCAGTTTCTACTCCAAGAAGTGGACCCCAGAGACTGGGTCACCATTATGGCCAGCAAACTAGTGGGGAAGGCAGCAGATATTTACCGAAGAGCAGATCAGAGACTATCCCTTTATTACCCTCCTGGCCCGGTATGCAGTCGCCCCCGAGCAAGGCCGCCGGAAGTTTAGGGAGACCCGGAAAGGGGAGAAGGACTCCCATGCGGAGTGGGCATACCGCATCACAAGGGCCACCCAGAACTGGTTCAACTCCCATCAAGCCAAGTTCCCGGAAGAGATCACCCAGCTCGTCATGCTAGAGCACTTTTTCAATGGGCTCCCCAACGACAAGGCGACAACGCATTCATATGTCATCCTTATCAACTTTTGATGCCATTTACTGTGCTGACCATGGTGACCACGTGTAACGGGGAATCAGGGTTTGATTCCAGAGAGGGAGCCTGAGAAACGGCTATCACATGCAAGGAAGGCAGCAGGTGCTCAAATGACCCACTCCCGACGCGGGAAGGTAGTGACAACAAATAATACAGGACTCTTTAGAGGCCCTGTAATTGTAATGAATCCACTTGAAATCCTTTAACTCTGATCAATTGGAGGGCAAGTCTGGTGCAGAGCCACTGACCCGTGCGTGCTGCAGCTGAAACTCCACTAGCACCTGCTGCTGCTCGCACAGTCTCTCCAGCATGTGCAAGGTGGAATTCCACCTTGTGGGCACGTCGCATGAGGCGGTGAGCGGGAAGGCCAAAGTTACGCTGCAGCGTAGACAGGCGAGCAGCAGCAGGGTGAGAATGCCAAAAGCATGCACTGCCGCAACAGTGAATGTTATATCCTGTTCCAAGTTGTGGCTCAGTCTGGTGATGGCTTCTGGTATCCAGTACTCTTTTTAGTGAAGCTGCATCAGGGTCCTGGTATGTGGCCGCACAAACGCTGGTGCTCAACACCAACAGGGACCGTGCGGCTACCCTGCACCAGACCATGCTAATCCATTCCACACTGTGACTCCTAACTTCAACATCAGGCATACTGGGTCCCAGTCGTCCGACTGTCGCCCAGACAGTGTCTGGGTCCCAGTAACCAGACTGTGAAAGGCTCATTAAATCTGTTATAGTTCTTTTTATCGCTTCAACGGTTACTTGGATAACTATGGGAATTCTAAAGATAATACATGCAGAGGAGAGCTAGGGGATGGCCACTCCGCTTTTGCACGCTGCTCCCTCTTATGCTGTGCTGGTGCCTCTGTGCGACCACCGCCTCTTCCTCCAAACTGCACAGGTCACTCACATGACCTTGATTCCATGTGGGGTCTAGGACCTCATCATCCTCCACATCATCTTCCACCCACTCCTCAACCCTTCCATCCTTGCCGGTCTGGCACCTGTGTTTTTCCAGCATGTAAAGTCTGCAAAGGACATATGGAAATAGATTTAGAATTGTATCCAGGCAACAGTTTTCCCTATAAACTGACCTCTCAGTTTGACTTGTGAGGGTATTGCCCCCAAATAACAATATTGTTATATTGGTATTTGACGGTTCTATTTGACTGTTAGATATGAAGTGCACACCCCAAATTTACTTCTTCGGATCCAAAAAATGGGAATTCGTCAAAGTGCGCTGTAAACACAGTATTTGAAGCTTCTATTTGACTCTCAGATATGAAGTGCACCCCACTAATGTACTATTGTGCATATTCGCACCCAGAAAATAAGCATTTTTACAATTGCGCTGTAACCGCACTATTTGACGCTTCTATTTGACTCTCAGATATGAAGAGCACGCCCAAAATGTACTATTTAGGAGCAGCAAAACAATTAGAATGTTTACAACTGCGCTGTAAGCGCACTATTTGATGCTTCTATTTGACTCAGAAATGAAGTGCAGGCATCAAATTGACTTTTTAGCACCTAAAGAATTAGAATTTTTACAATTGCAATGTAAGCGCAGTATTTGATGCTTCTATTTGGCTCTCAGATATAAAGTGCACCTCAGGCCGCAAATATACTATTTATCAGCCAAAAAATGTGAATGTTTAAAAATGCTATGTCAGAGCACTATTTGACGGTTCTATTTGACTCTCAGGTATGAAGAGCACGCCCAAAATGTACTATTTAGCAGCAAAACAAATAGAATTTTTACAACTGCGCTGTAAGCGCACTATTTGACGCTTCTGTTTGACTCTCAGATATGAAGTGCACCCCACTAATGTACTTTTTAGCCCAAAGCAAATTGACTTTTTAAAACTCTGATGTAACCGCAGTATTTGACGCTTCTATTTGACTCTGAGATATGAAGTGCACCCCACTAATGTACTAGTTTGCAGAATTATTTCCTAATCTGTCCCTAACAGCTGCAGCATCCGCTCCCTACACTAATAAGACCTCATGTGCGTGCAGTGCTACGCGACTCCAGCTTATATATAGAGGCTGGGTCACATGCTGCACTGGTCAATCACAGCCATTCCATTAGTAGGCATGGCTGTGATGGTTTCAAAGGACACATGAGTCAAACACTTGTTGATTGGCTGCCCTGCAGCCTTTCAAAACGCGCCATTAAATCACCGAACTCCAACTTTACAGTCCGGGTTCGCTCAACTCTACTTTTTACATGAAGTGTTTAGGAAGGCTGTGCAAGTCACATGCAGGGAGGTATGACTATGGCTTCATAAACAAAGTGATTTAACTCCTAAATAACATTTAATTGAGCAGTGAGACTCCAGGGGCACGATCTATACATAAATAAGTAAAATAATACACCAAAATGCTTTATTAAGCTAAAGTTGTTTTGGTGGCTATAGTTGCTCTTTAAATATCTTTAGCATAGAAACCACAACATAAAATAGTTTTATTATTTGATTAACCCCTTAAAGACACATGACATGTGTGACATGTCATGATTCCTTTTTATTCCAGAAGTTTGGTCCTTAAGGGGTTAAAGAGACAGGCAAAAAGTGACAAAGGCACTGAGCATCTCAAATGCCACTGGTTAGCAATAAGGACCCAGAAAGAAATGAAACTGTGGAAATACATATTTTATTTTAAACATCTGCTCAAAACCAGGGGAGAAAATTAACTGAAGCCTGTGAATAAACTACTCTTCTGTCTGGGACAGAATACTTTGTGGTACAGAAGTTTCACTATAAGAAAACGGGCAACTAAGGAAGCGTTAACATTCCCTTGAAAACCATGTTCCTGGGGGTTGGAATATACTCTGTTTTTAGCTGCAAATATTGGCTACATGTTCGTCATAGCAGCTTAAAGGTGATATTTACTGACAAGATTGGAGAACAAGCCCTATGAAAAAAGGATATATGGTAATGTATAAGTATTGTTATAAAAAGGCAGAAACAACAACCCTGATAATAGGAAAATAACTGTACTGCAATCAGCAGCCATCATATGTGTCTATCCTAATATTCATGGTGGAAGACCCATTGGTGAGGGATGGGGGGGCTCTAGATCCTCAACCCCTTTAATTTTATAATTAGGACCCCATCTGCTACTAATGGATGGGGGCTGGTGTGGGTTTAGGTCTTCCCCCATGAATATTAGAATGGACTCCACCCGTCACCGGGGACGTGGAGGCACTAGGTCCTCCCTCATTATTATTAGGTTACCTCACACCTTATGCCCATCCATTATTTTACAGGCGTGTCTTCAAACCAGACTGTGTCTAGTTTTTGGACATGCCTGCAAAATTTGTAAAGTGTGTACACCAGTGTAATAAGTTTAACAAGGCAGGATTCAGTGTTTCTAGAGTGCAAGTGATATGGTTAGAAGCATTAGTTTAAATTGTTTTGAAAAGCATACCACTTAATGCATAATCAATCTAACCAATTCATGTTGTTAAATATCACAGTTACCTTGTTTATCACTGCTTCTTGATTTTATTCATTTCTATGTCAGTTCTACTCCCTTGCAAAATACTTCCTGCTGTAGAATTAAAACTACTTTATTAGTTACACACGAAATATACAAAAAGTATCACAAAAAGGAGAAACATTAAATGAGTAACTATGTGAAAAAGAGGTATTAATAGCCTCTGTTATTAATAATAAATACAACCTGATAAAAACATTGATAATGAACCTAAAAAATAAAAAACAAAATAGTGTAATACAGCTACAGGTGTAGAGGTGAGTGAGGGAGAGGTAGAGCACTCACAAGACTGTGTTCACTAGTAGGCATATCTCTCCTAAATGGATCTTCTCAAGAAAATATCTTCTTCCAATATTGATTAAATTGACTGAATAGAAGAGGCTTGTTTCCCCTCAGGGATATATCAGGAGGGCTGGTGTCTTCTAATACTCACAGGGCACGGACGTGCTGCGGGCAGAGTGTTGGTTGGTCAGCAGTGCGCCGAGGGAAGTTTCAAGGCCAAAGTCAGAGCCTGGGCAGGAGTCTGGGTAACGCCACAGCTGGATACTAGGGCTGCAGGGGAAACACTCACTCCCTTTATTACTTAAGTACTTCATTACTAATATTAGGAATATGTTATGTTACATTAAAAAGGGAACCAATTGAAATATTACGTAAATGGTTTGTGTGTTTTATTCCTTTTTGTTTCTTCTATGTATTATTTTAGGCGGCGTTTATTTACCAGCTACAAGCACTGTATTTGCAAAATCAGGTAATTATTAATACATATCTTGTCATGGTATTTTAATAAGCAAAAGGACATTGTAGGCACCATAACCATGTCACCAGATTGTGATAAATCTGCATCACTGCTGAATTTTCACTTTTTAGTAGAAATGCTCTGTCCCTATCAGCCTGGCCTGATATGATAAAATAAAGAAAATCCAGCGCACTCCCTTATCCACTAAACAGTAACTTCGGTACCAACAGATTTTGTTAGCTTTTTTTTTTTTTTTAAAAACACCTAATCTAAGCAAAAATAATGGGGATTTAGTTACATTATATGATCATACATTGCATAAGCCTGCCACAACATCAATGTACCCAATCTTTGGCAGGTCCTATTCTAACAGCCTAATGTTGGCTTCATGAGCTACTTACTTTGCGGAAGAATTCCATCACAAGGGTCACTTCTGCTCCTGACTGTCACAAAATCAGAGATTGTCTTGTTCCTTGTGTCTGCCTGTCAGTCCCTGACCCTGAATACTACCAGGTAAATTGCATTAATTTACCTGGTGCCAGTGCCACATTATTTCTGTTACAAATACATGCTCATCAGGGCAAAGAGGGATGGTCCTCAAGAGCTTTCAGTCTAACTCAAGTTAACTTTACTGTGATACTGTCAGACAGTCCGTTTACTTCACATAATTGGTAACTTGTTGTAAGATTGCAAGCTGTACAGACCATTTACAGCGTGCCCTGGTCTCTATATGTAAAGGCTTGAGGGAATAGCCCCAAAAGCTTGCAATCTAAGTCAAGTTAGCATTTCCTAATTATGTAAATAATACAAACAGAAATA